ATCACGTGCCTAGCCAACTGAAATAACTTTCTGTCCCAGATCCAGATTGACCATTAGAATCCTAACAAAAAAAAAGGCACTTGTTTTACATAGGTACAACTAATATTTAGTAGGTTGGCATAAATACAGCTATCAGGAGCCAGTTTTGTCACAGCTTTGCCAGTTTTGCAAGACTGTTTCTCCAAAGATTATGAGATATCATCAGAATGGACAGAGCTTTCTCAATGTTAACTCTTCCAGAACCATTACTTTGCACATCTTTCACAACACCTTTTCTTCACCCAAAGTTAATAATTATATATTCACATGTATAAAACTACTGGCAAAATGCCATTTCTGCATCTCCCACGAGGATTTCACAAATTCAGGTGGTTTGGAGAGTTTCAACCCTTCCAGACCATGTTCTCTTCAGAAAGATTGATAGGGTCTTTGGGCTGAAGTCTGTTATTTGTAAATCTGATCTTGACCGTGATTAGTCTGTAAACTGTTATCATAAAGGACATTTCCCATTGGGTTCATCCCAATCAAGCATTAATGAATGCTTACTGCTCAATGAGGCAAGGTTCCTGTAGTCCCTGCATACACCTCCCTCCGCTCTACAGACAATATACAATTATTACTGGTGCACTCTGTTACACTTCACTGGAGTGGCACATTGGAAGCCTTGCTCTTCTTACAGTCATCACAAAAGCCAAAGATGTTTTGAAAGTACTCAAAATTCTCCAATTTACCTGTCACTTAAAGCCAGGTTGACAGAAAGCACAGACCACATTTCTGTACTTAACAAGAATTATTATCTCTTAAAATTAAAGCTACAAGTAAACAATTATGAACCATTAACCACACACAGACACACACACAGATGCAGACGCACACAAGGACCTTTCTTTCAGAGGTCTGACCATCTTATTCACACCAACAATTTGTTCAGCTACCTGGGAGCAGTCCACAAAGCTTTGTCAGAAGCCTTTATCATTGACAATTGTTCTTCACTCCACAGATGAATCAGCTACTAGCTGCCAGGCAAGTACACTCACTCTGGTCTCTAGCTCCCGGTCTCTTTGGATAGCACGGTGGCTCGGTGGTTAGCACTGCTGCCTCACAGCATCAGGGACCCGGGTTTGATTCCACCCTTGGGCGACTGTCTCTGTGGAGTTTGCACATTCTCCCCATGTCTGTGTGGGTTTTCTCTGGGTACTCAGGTTTCCTCCCACAGTCCAAAGATGTGTGGGTTAGGTGGATTGGCCATGCTAAATTGCCCATAGTGTCCAGGGATGGGTCTGGGTGGGATGCTCTGAGGGTCGGTGTGGACTTGTTGGGCCGAAGGGCCTGTTTCCATGCTGTAGGGATTCTATGGATATCTCATCTCTAGTGACCTCTCCACTACCTGGTCAAACAGCTGTTTAAACAATGAGTGTCAGGCAACTTAGTTTTAAAAACTGTGTAATCTTTTCCACAATCTTTGATTTTAAAAAAAAGTCCTTTTGTAATCTCAATGACCAATCAAAAATATGAGAAATTAAAAGATACAGTCTTTACAGTTGACTGGTGGATGACTGCACTATTCCTACTGAGGTCCTACATCCATATCCGCTGCTCTGGGCACAATTGTAGCAGTCATCATGCACGACTATTATAACCAACAGCCTGCTGCTCTGGTTAAGGCTGCTCTTTTTTTCAACAAATACTCTTATATTCCTATTAGGTCAACTGTGTAGTTAATCACTTTCTTATAAGGAATTAAGTTTTTAAGCTTTCGCCCTCCTCAACAATTCTGATAGCAATAAGCGAAATTGGAGTGGAGTGGACCGCTAATTGAAAAAGGCTGTATGAAAGTCAGTGTTTTCCATCAAAAGAGAATACTCACAACCACAATTTAAGGGGAAAGCTGGGTATGGGGTCATTTTTGCAAATTGGTTACATGTATAAATGTAGAATTAACCTCAAGCTGACCATTCTTTACTGAGCACCCAATAGGAAACTGTAGTGCATTGTTGGACATGACCACAGGTGTGATGCCATATGTAGTGGCCATTTCAAACAACACGTGACAACTTCTTTGGTGGAAGTGCTATCAAATCTGCTTTACCCGTCTCCACCTTGAAAAATGGATGCAATAGGATAAGAACAGTGATTGAACATCAATAGGTCAATATTTACTCTTTCCCATGGCCTAGTAGGGATCAGTGGCTCCCTCTGCTCAAGTCTGTGACATAGTGCAAGTTTTAAAGTCAGCTATGAAGGCCTTGATCGCCTTGAGATCCCTGGCCTCTGCATGGATAACCAAGCCCAGCTCTACATTTGGTAAAAACCAGGGTCACTCGGGCTTTCTTGTCTAGGATGTTATCCCACAGATAAACTAGAAAGGCCAGCCTATCATCAAACAACAACAAAATAAAAAACAAAAGAACTGAGGATGCTGTAAACCAGGAAACAAAACAGAAGTTGCTGGAAAAGCTCAGCAGGTCTGGCAGCATCTGTGAAGGAGAAAACAGAGTTCACGTTCTCGTTTCCCACTTCTGAGGAAGGGTCACTGGACCTGAAACGTTAACTCTGTTTTTTCCTTCACAAATGCTGCCAGACCTGCTGAGCTTTTCCAGCAACTTCTGTTTTGCATCAAACAACAACAGGTCATCTGAAATTGTGAAATGCTATCGATGCTCAAAATATGTCTACATGGCCACCCTTCGAGTCTTTGATCAGGTCACCCTTCCATTCAATACCAACGTTCTTGGTCATTTTTTTGTTCCTGTCAGAAATGATTGAGCCTGTTTTAGGTTGGTGACCACTGGATCACTGTAGCCCGAGCATATAGTTCAACGTCACTAACAAATTCCTCATAAATTGTAAGGGTTTCAACAGTCATTTTGGAAAGGACATCAGTCATCTTTGTAGATTCTCCTGCACTTGTTTGATTTTATTGGCAAACCTCATAAGTCGGAGTAGGAACCTCTATCTATTGAGGTAGCGCTTGCCAAATTTTTAATCATCTAATAAGGAAACCAACAGCTTATGGCCCATCTGGTTCTCTCTTGCTCTTTAGGGAAAGGGATTTCCGTCCATACCGGGTCTGGCCTAAACATGACTCCAGACCCACAGCAATGTGGTTGACACTCAACTGCCCTCTGGGCAATTAGAAATGTGTAATAAATGCTGGCCTGGCTAGTGACTCCAAATGCTGTGAATAAATAAAAAGAAAGGCTGTCTCTGTCTTCTTAAAACACAAATGTTCTTAAAGTGTTGAAATCACTTGGCTTCAAAAAACCTTCTTCTTCAGGTCTAATTCAATTCAAATCTATACCGATGCTCACCATATTGCAGTGCCAGGTATCAGCACAGCTTCTGTTTACCAATCAGAAGTGATTTGTGGCTGGGATAGTTCACTGTCATCATTCCAATGTGTGGCACTGTCCCCATTTCTCAATGACAAATGATTTGACCAAGCACTAAATGCCTTTGAATGAAGAGCCCTGCTCCACCAACAAGTAAGTTCAACAACACTAATGAAAAGCTCATTTTCTTGCACTCATCAGGACAGACAAGATGCTGAAATTCAAAATTTGTCTTGCGCATCTGTTCCAATGAATACAAGATGAAAAACTTTGAAAGCCTGCCTCTTTTTTTCAGCAAAATTCAAATTCTGTACTACCAAGCAACTATTTGTAAAGTTGAAGTTAGTTAGGTGTAGGGCACTGCTCGAAGAAATTCTTGCAATGATGTTTTGGGGTTGAGGTGTTTGGTTCTCAACAACCAGAACAATCTTCCTTTGTAGCTCGTATGATTTTACCCATTGGGAAGTCGCATCCCCTATTCCCTTTTGGCTACAGTCAGACTGAGGACCTGCTTTAAAAGTGTTATTTGAATGTACTCTACTGTTGTAATGTTCTCTGGTTCCACCACAGATCCAGTGATATTTTCACATTATGATTTTGGCTGTCCTTAAGTGCTGACATTTCTTCCTCATCGAGTAATGCACTCACAAAAAGATGCCCAAGCAGAATTACATTGAACTTAATTTATTAGCCACACTTGAAAAGTTCAACCTGGTTTTCAAGGAACTGGTCTCGATTAGCTGCCAGATCAGGGTTTGAGTGTAATGAAAGCAGTCATTGCTTCAGCATTTAATATCCTCGTTGCAGGAAAGTATCTAAACCAATTTGAAAGACTTGTAACTAAGCATTACATTAAAATTTGTGACAAATGCAAAAATGCAAAATGAATCATCAGTGTTGGTACACACTAGTTGGCCAAGTTCTATTGAAAGAACCTATCAACTGGTGATGCACAACTCCATACAGGTATACCTGTCATTTTGAGTAGCTATTACTCAGGAACGGAAATGGATGAATATATTTCTAAAGGAAAATAAAATCACGTTAAGACTATAACTAACACACAAAATATCTGCTGAATTCAGGAAAATAATGAGCACTTTCTGTTTGAAGTTATTTCACTCATGATTTTAGAGGCATGCTGAAGCAGACTTGTTGCATTTAAAAGTAAGCTTGTGCATGATCAGAAACAATGACTGAGGCCATTTACAAAATAAAACCCATAGGGTTTTGTAACCTGGTGCATTTTTCTCTTAAAGGTTACTTTGAATCTTTTAAATTACAGATAGAATTTATAGAGGTTTTTTGTTAATTCCAGGAGAACTTCCCAAAAGAAACTGGATGATATCCTTGCCACTAATTCTCTAGTCAATGATGCTTAATAAAATATACCCTTTACTTAAAACTAATACTTAATGTTGTTGGCAGACATTTTTATGCATAAACACATTATCAGTAAACTTGTAGAACCATAAGCCAATTGACTGCAGACAGTTTCGGCACTGCTCCCACTGACACCAGCTTACAACCATAATATCACATGGAACTTTTAAAAACCCTGAGCTTTAATATCAATTGAATTCTTCACTTCGTTGGAAGGAAGTAGAACTGCAGTATTTCCAGCTAACTGTTGATCCACAGCTTCAGCATTTTATCTAACTGCTTTACCTTAGCGTATACAGTATTTTTCCATCATTCCCGATTCGTAGCAATCGATTGGGAGTTGTTATCCAGTGAGCATCCGACTTCTTGGAATTTCGGAAAAATGTGTCCGGGATCCAGATTTTGCCAACCATGTTACTATTTAGCAGGAGAACCTTCATTGTACCATTAAATTTCAGTCTGCTATCATACCAAGATTGCGCAAAAAATATGTCAATGGTATATTCCTGAAAAAAAATCAGAATTATATTCCTTGTACCTGCTACTTCAACATTTCCATTATTAAATTGAACTATATTTGCTTTATGCAATCCATAAATAATATTCCTGTGTTTCACAATTATTTTAAGGTAATTTATTAAATCCAGCACAATAATAAACACAATGGACATGTCTTCCACACAAAATTGTTTTCAGCATCAAATATAACTTGAGAACAATATCAAAACCAAAATGTTGGTGCAATAAACTCAATACTTCAAATGTTTAAAACAAAATTCAACAACAAATGAAAACCACACTTAATAATTATTCCTAAGGATTTTTAAAAAGCCTACATTGAGTTTCATAGACAAAAGTAAAAAAAGTCATGAACAAATTAGACAAGTCTTAAACGTCTCCAGAAAATTGCAAAAAATTGAGCCTGGTCAAGTAACTGAACACAATCTACATTCAAATTAATGTTTGTGATTTAAAGGTAGTACATAAGATACTTGACCAACCATGAGATATAGGAGCAGAATTGGGCCATTCAGCCCATCGAGTCTGTTCCACTATGCGATCGTGGCTCAAATGTTTCTCAATCCCATTCTCTTGCCTTCCCTCTGTAACCCTTGATCCCCTTACCAATCAAGAAGTTATCTAACTTTGTCTTAAATAACCTCAATGACCTGGTCTCCACAACCCTCTGTGGCAATGACTTCCACAGATTCACTACCCTCTGGCTGTAGAAATTCCTCCACAAGTCAGTTCTAAAGGGTTGTCCCTTCACTCTGAGCGTGTGTCCTCAGGTCTTAGTCTCTCCTACTATTGGAAACATCTTCTCCATGTCCACTCGATCCAGACCTCCATCAAGTACAGACCCAGAATCCACAGTCACTCCTCATACAACATGCTCTTCATCCCTGGGATCATTCTTGTAAACCTTTTTTTCACAACCTCCAACTCCAGCACATCCTTCCTTAGATATGGGGCCCAAAACTGCTCACAATATTCCAAATGCGGTCTGACCAGAGACTTATATAGCCTCAGCAGTACTCTACTGCTCTTGTAATCTAGCCCCCTTGAAACGAATGCTGATATTGCCATTTGCCTTCCTAAGGTGAAACTGAGCCTGCATGCTTATCTTAAGAAAATCCCAAACTTTCTGAGATTTCCAAAGGCTTATCCCATTTGGAAAATAGTCCACACCTCTATTCTTCCTGCCAAGGTGCATAACCTCACACTTTCCCACACTGTATTCCATCTGCGACTTCTTTGCCCACTCTCCTAGCCTGCCCAAATCCTTCTGCAGCTTCCTTGCTTCATCAACACTACCTGCCCCTTCGCCTTTGTGTCATCTGCAAACTCAGCAACAATGGCCTCAGTTCTTTCATCCAGATTGTTAATGTATAACGTGAACAGTTGGGACCTAATACTGACCCCACTAGTCACCAGCTGGTATCCTGAAAAAGACCCCTTTATCCCCTACTCCCTGCCTTCTGCCAGTCAGCCAATCCTCTATCCATGGACAAAAACAGAAGTTTCTGGAAAAGCTCAGCAAGTCTGGCAGCATCTGTGAAGGGAAAAACAGAGTTCATGTTTCGGGTCTGGTGACCCTTCCTCAGAACAGAACAATCTCTGTCCATGCCAGCCCATAACACCATGGGCTCTTACTCTGCAGCCTTCTGTCCTTGTCAAAGTCCATCTGGATCGTGTCCACTGGCTCTCCTTTGTTTAACTTGCTCATTACCTCCTTAAAAATATTCTATACATTTGTCAGGCATAATCTCCCCTTGACATTGCTGTGCTGACTTGGCCCTATTTTACTATGCACTTCCAAGTACTTTGCAATCTTACCTTTAATAACAGATTCTAATATCTTGTCAAAGACTGAGGTCAGGCTAACCAGCCTATAGTTTCCTGTCTTCTGCCTCCTGGCCTTCTTAAACAAGGGTGTTACATTAGCCATTTTACATTCCTGTGGGACTATCACCGACTCCCGCGATTCCTGAAAGATCACCACCAATGCCTCCAGAATCTCCTCAGCTATCTCCTTCAGAACTCTGGGTGTCGTCCAACTGGTCCGAATGATTTATCCACTTTCAGACATTATAGCTTCCCCAGCACTTTCTCCTTAGTGATAGCCACTACTCTCACCTCTTCCCCCTGACTGTCCTGAAGTTCTGGTATGCTTCTGCTTTCTTTTTCTGTGAAAACTGATGCAAAGTACCTACTCAGTTCCTCCACCATTTCTTAGCTTCCCATTCCTATCTTTCCAGCATTATTTTCCAGCAGACCACTGTCCTTTCTTGCTTCTCCCTTTCCTTTTAGATATTTAAAAACAATCTCTTGCAATCTTCTGTTATATTATTTGCTAGCTCATCCTTATATTTCATCTTATCTTCCTTATTGCTTTTTAAAAAAAATATATCCTCTACTGGTTTTTAAAGGCTTCCCCTACTAAAATTCACCATATTTCTATACTTTTCCCTTTTGTCTTTATGCTGTCCCGGATTTCTCTTGTCAGAAGTGATTGCTCCATATGTTTCTCCTTCCTTGGGATAATTTTCTGCCGTGTCTCCTAAATTGCCCTCAGAAACTCTTGCCATAGCTGCTCCACCATCTTCCCTGCTAGGCTCCCCTTCCAATTAACTCTGGCCAGCTCCTCCCTCGTGTCTTTGTCGTTACCTTTACTCAGTTGTCATACCATCACATCTGATTCAATCTTCTCTCTCTCCAACTGCAGGGCGAATTCTATGGTCACTGATTCCTTCAGAATCAGCTCCCTAATCAAGTTTGCCTCATTACACATCACCAAACCCAGAATTATCTGTTCCGTAGTGGGCTCTACCACAAGCTGACTCAAAGAAAAACATTTCATAGACATTCCACAAATTCTGCTTCTTGAGATCTGTTACCTGATTTTCCCTATTTGCGTATTGAAGTCCCTATGATTATTGTAATAGTATCTTTCTCACATGCCTTTTTTATCTCCTGATTTATTTTCTTCCCCCATCCTGATTGCTGCCAGGAGGCCTGTACATAGCTCCCATCGAAAGACAATGTTGCATTAATTTGATACACAGAAAGGCACAATGGATTTATAAATGCTTCTGTTTGTTGGTAGTTTGCTGATCAAATATTTTCTGGATATCAACATTCTGTGCTGTAACCTGTGAGAGAAACATGACATTTCACTTACAGATCCTGACTACCCACTTCACTTTTCTTCCTGTTCACTAACCAGTTTTTAAATGTGACCCTGCAATAAGCTTAAGAGGCCACTGAAGGTCACAGCAGTACATTTTATGTAAATTATTAATGTGTTTTATGCTAAGTGGTGCTCTCTTCTGACCATTTTCAGGATTATACACCCAGTTCTCAATAGGTGGTATGTTAAAAATCTCTGATCTATAAATGTTTAAATGTTGAAACAAATGAAGTCATGCATAGATGCCTGAAATAGTTGTGTTGATCGCAACCAGAAAGGAAGTCAAGCCCATCCATATTGAGAGGTTGGAGTGTCTGAATTCAGCTGTAACAACATGCCATACAATTACTCCTCAAATTTGCAATTGTTCAACATTTAATATTTATATACTAACTGAAACAGCCATGCAGTTCAATGACCAGTTAGTGTTGTCTATTGGGTGCAAGTTTTATGTTACATTTTAAACTACGGTTGCTGGATTTCCACAGGGTAATGCAGTAGGAACATAGAACATAGAACAGTACAGGCCCTTTGGCCCACGATGTTGTGCCGACCTATTATCCTACTAAGAAGTTTTAGGGAATATTATGCTCTTCCGACCTATATCATTAATATTGATTGATTTATTTATTTTCACTGTATTTCGGTACACGCGACAAGCTTTGTTTACGAGCAGTACAGGCAGATCATTGTATGCAAAGGGTGTACAGATCTAAAAGACTCATACAGAGGCGTACAGATTACATTGCACAGGGCGTGCGCTAGGCAAGATCAATGTTAGCAAGATCAGCTTTATTTGAGTCCAGAGGGTCCATTCAACAGTCTGATAACGGCCGGGAAGAAGCTGTTCCTGAATCTGCTCGTGCACGTGTTCTGGCTTCTGCCTGACGGAAGAGAACGCAGGGTGGGTGCAATGGGTCTTTGATGATATTGGCAGGCTTTCCATGGCAGCGGGCTATGTAAATAGAGTCCATGGATGAAAGGTTGGCTTCCATGATGGTCTGAGCTGTGCACAACAACTTCTGTAGTTTGTTACAGTCCTGGGCAGAGCAGTTGCCATTCCAGGCCATTATGCACCTGGACTGTAGCTTTCAATGGTGTATTTGTAGAAGTTGGTGAGGGACCTAATGGACATGTCAAATTTCCAAGCCGCCTGAGGAAGAAGCGTTATTGTGCCTTCTTGACTATCGCATCTACGTGGGAAATCCTGGACAAGTTTTGTTGGTTATTGTGACTCCAAGGAACATGATGCTCTTCATTCTCTCAAACTCAGTTCCATTGCTGTAGACAGGGGCGTGTTCTCCTCCTTTCTTTCTGAAGTCAATGATCAGTTCTTTAGTTTTGCCGACGTTGAGAAACAGAATGTTTTCATTGCACCATGTCACTAAGCCCTCTACTTTCTGTAGTTTGACTCGTTATTGTTAGATATCCGTCCCACTACATGGGTGTCGTCAGCAAACATGTAGATGGTGTTCCTTTGGAATTTGGCAACACAGTCTTAGGTGTGAAGCGTGTATAGTAAGGGGCTGAAGACACATCCTTGCGGTGGAGGGGGGGGGCTCCAGTGTTAGGAATTATTGTGGAAGAAGTGTAGTTATCTTTTTTTAAGCAGGTATAACTCCTGAGGGGTTATAGCATTTGGACAAATTTTATAATAGATTGTTTTCTTTCAAAGAAAGTGACAGATCACTAATGATGATCACATAATGACCATTGTGAATGATTCAAAATCATGATTAGTTACGGATTGCTGCTGCTTTAACAATTAAGTAGACTAGGTTAGCATTCTCTAGAATTAGAAAGGATGATAGTTGA